CTTTGTCAGAGACATAACCTGCAAAAATCTTCTCCCATTCTGATGGCTGTCTGCTTGCCTTACTTACTGTGTTCTTGGCTGTGCAGAAGCTCTTCAGTTCTGTATGTAGTTCTTACACAGTTTATCAAAGTTGGAGTATTCATTGAAGCTTTAGCAACAAAGAAACCTAGTTGGTTATACTACAATATAGATTAGTTTATATATTGACAGTTTTGTGGGAGCAGCTAGTGTTTTTGTACCTTTTTTTTTTTTGCAGTTTTTGGCCAGGGCCAGGCTTGAACCCACCACTTCCTGTCAGTATATGGGGCCAGCTCCCTCTTCTTTTTTTTTTAAACAGCCTCAAACTCACAGAAACCTCCCAACTCCTGGGCTCAAGCAATTTTCCTGCCTCTGCCTCCAAGTAGCTAGGACTACAGGCGCCTGCCACAACACCCGGCTGTTTTTTGGTTGCAGCCTTCGTTTGGCAGCCCTGGGCTGGATTCAAACCAGCCAGCTCAGGTGTATGTGGCTGGCACCTTAGCCGCTTGAGCCACAGGCACCTAGCCAAACTTTTTCTTTCTTATATTGATAGATGTCCTATCCCAAGCTTAGTTCATTTATTAGAAGGTAGGGTCTTAGCTAATTCACTATGATTAAAGGCTTCTAACTCACCATCAAGTGCTAATAAAATGTGTTGTTTGTCTTTCTTGACAAGCCTGAGGGCATTTGGTTGTATTAGGTAGCGATATCAAGCCTTACCTCCTTTAGTATAAAAGTTTCTGCATTTTGGTTGAGGGTACATATTTATAGCTACATTATTCAATGTATACAGTAGTTGACAATGCCAGATAATTACTTCAGTAACACATAATTGCTTTGAAATTGGCAGTCAAAGTATTAATGCAAGGCTTTCCAGACTGGCAGGAATCTTTTGTCCAAATGAATAGTAAATAAAGCACGCTGCTCCTGATGAATGGAATAGTTGGTGAAACCCTGCGTGGTATGGGTTTAAGAACAAAGTGAAAAGGAAATCTTAAGGAAGGGCTTGTAGTATGTCAGTAGGGAGCTTTGTAGGAATTTTGCTGAAAAGGAGACGGGTAGTAGGAAGGTAAAACTGAGGGCAAAAAGAATTTTTGATGAGAAATAACCATTATTTGTAGGCTGAAGAATTGCATAGAAGAGGACAATTGATGTCAGGAAAGTGACTG